TGCAAAAAGCAGAGACGAGATCCTGTGGTCCCCAAACCGGACTCCCTCCGGCCCCTGGCTGCACCTAGAAATTCTGTCCATAAAAATAATGAACAGAACCGGTGACAAAGGGCAGCCCTGCCGGAGTCCAACATGCACTGGAAACAAGTCTGACCTACTGCCAGCGATGCAAATAAAGCTCCTGCACCGGTCGTACAGGGACCGGACGGCCCTTAGCAAATGGCCCCGGACCCCGTACTCCCGGAGCACCCCCCACAGGGCGCTGCGAGGGACACGGTCGAATGCCTTCTCCCGATCCACGAAACACATGTGGACTGGTTGGGCAAACTCCCATGAACCCTCTGCCACCCTGAAGAGGGTATAGAGCTGGTCCAGTGTTCCACGGCCAGGACGAAAACCGCATTGTTCCTCCTGAATCCGAGGTTCGACTATCGGTCGAGTTCTCCTCTCGAGTACCCTGGCATAGACTTTCCCGGGGAGGCTGAGGAGTGTGATCCCCCTATAGTTGGAACACACCCTCCGGTCCCCCTTCTTAAAAAGAGGGACCACCACCCCGGTCTGCCAGTCCAGAGGCACTGTCCCCGACCGCCATGCAACGTTGCAGAGGCGTGTCAGCCAAGACAGCCCAACAACATCCAGAGACTTAAGGTACTCAGGGCGGATCTCATCCACCCCCGGTGCCTTGCCACCGAGAAGCTTCTTGACTACCTCAGTGACTTCAGCTAAAACATAAATATGAAAAATAGAATTATTTCACTATAAATGTGATTACAAACTGAATTGTTTCGAATGACTTGCCGTGTCTAGAGTCACTTGAGACCTGATTTAGAGCCAGTTTGAATGTGACTTGCATGAAGAGACCTGCCAAGTTCTGCCTGGAAGGTCCTGTCCTCATTTTTCTGTCTGTAGGTCAGTAAGCTGATCGTCCTGGATCCTCACAAACGCCTCAGTGTCCGAGAGGCCCTGCAGCACCCCTGGGTGCTGGGTAAGGCCGCCCGCTTCTCCCACATGGACACCACCCAGAGGAAACTACAGGAGTTCAATGCTCGTCGCAAACTCAAGGTGAGGACGGCATCTTAGTGTTGACTGAGCACAAACCAAGGGCTCAAGGAGTTAAGACAGCCATTACATGTCCATGCGTCAGTGGGTGTAATAGTTCCTGCTGCCCATACTGACTGTGTGGAGGCTACCGCCTAATGCTTTCAGTCGACCAATCAGCAGCAGAAGGAAGCCTGAGTGAGCTGTAAATGTACCTAACTGACCAAATACTAATCATTTGTCCTGGTAAACTACTGCTTCTCTATTTATTTTAGAGTTAATGTTCTTCTTCTTCTTTCGGCTGTTCCCGTTAGGGGTCGCCACAGCAAATCATCTTTTTCCACCTAACTCTATCCTCGGCATCCTCTACTCTCACCCCAATTAACTTCATGTCCTCTTTTAGCACATCCATATATCTCCTCTTTGGCCTTCCTCTTGACCTCTTGCCTGGCAGCTCCATCTCCAACATCCTTTTACCAATATAACCACTATCCTTCCTCTGCACATGTCCAAACCATCTCAATCTGGCCTCTCTGACCTTGTCCCCAAAACAGTCGACCTGAGCTGTCCCTCTGATGTGCTCATTTCTAATCCTGTCCATCCTGGTCCCTCCTAAAGAGAACCCAACATCCTCATCTCTGCTACCTCCATCTCTGCCTTATGTCTTTTCCTCACTTCTACAGTCTCTAACCCATACACCATAGCTGGTCTCACTACTGTCTTGTACACCTTTCCTT